GCACTAATCTGCAACCCAAGTTCTGAGATTTTCCCTCCCAATGCCGCAAGCAGTTCCTCTTTGTCTGCTGATTTAACAGCCAACGCTTCACACGTTGTCGTAAGCGTTTGAACAATCTTACTTATCGGACTATCTGAACATAAGTCACAGAACCATAACCTATCTGGCGATACGCTGTTACCTGCATTACATGTAAGGTTCACATTTGTTGCGTCGTAGGAATTGGCACAGAACGAACACGTGATTTTAGATAGGATCTACGTTTCCCGTTTGTCTGAGCTACGATTGACCATGGGTTTGTTGCTCACTGGATTCCCGGTCGACAAACTTCTCCGGACCATGGATCATTGGACGGTGCGCACTTTTAGGTTGCGCTGATCACGCCGTTCCGACTGCCTCAGTTATCCGCCCCGGTCAGCGGGTCTGGTAGTGGTGCATCGCTAGGCGCACGGGTAGCCAAAGTCACACAGGCTCTGTGCAGTGAAATGCACTTAAAAATATAGTGGTACAGTGAGATGACAAAAATACTTGTACCTATGGTATACGATGGTGCACAGTATTAAGTTATCTATTGTCTGACAGTCTTAAAGAAGTTCTATCGTATGATATCCCAAAGGTACTGATGAAAGTCAAATAAGCAAAGTTACTCAAGTTGGACTTAGTGAATAGACTTCCGAAGCATTTGTATGTGGTATATCAGTCTGTCCTAGGACTTACTTCAAAATTATAGACCCGATTGGATAGAGCTCAGTGATCCGAATCGACTGAGTGCACTTCCGAAGAGATGGCACAAGAATGTGAGGGGATAAGTCCAAATTAACACAGAGTACAGGGATGCACGATTAGTACGCACACGCCGACAAGGTCATCATCGGATGTTTTGCAATTCTTTGTGATATGGCTGTTATGACTTTAACTTGCTCACCAAAATTCACAGTGCTATGGTACAGAATAAGTAGATCATGTAGTCTTATTATAGAGATGTGTTTACTAACAAGGTAAAGAGCATTTGGCGAATGTTTTTACACTTGCATGTCAACACATTGCATTTGTCCGCTGAGAAGGACATTCGCCAAGGCCAGTAGGTCTATGCACACTATTTTAAGGGTATCGCTTAAACATGAGATATCGAAGGTGTTTAGTATGTTATGCCATCCGCAAAGATATATGTCACAAATTTTATTTTTTACTTTTAGCATTGATATGCATCAATAAGAACAAAGGACCTAGTCTACTAGTTCGAATCGTACCAATGGTTATCTTTAGTGGGGAAGATTTATTATTCCCTACTTCTGCCTATTGTACGCACCATATACACATAAGCGTTTAATCATGCGTGCAAGGAATCAGTTGTCCCGAGGTCAGTTTGCACTCGCGTTCCAGGACGCACCGCTTTATCAAACCATTCTCAGGTAGACTACGTCACTACCATGATTTATCTACAGCTTCACCTGCCGCAGATGTGTGGCTATTTCACTGCGCAAGTACCGTTCACCTGGTCTTATTAACATGGGCCTTACTTCATTAAAGGTAGCTGCCCCGAGCTTAACTAAACCTTTGAATCCATCTTTCCTGTGCTTTCTCAAAAATGTTAGGTTCCAACTAAGTGAGAGCGTGGGATAATCACCTCTATTTGCAACGAGGGAGAAGCATGCTGTGCCTGCAATCTACCAACAGTATTTTTATTCCGATGCTCCCTAAAAAACTGGAATCTGTAATTGTAGTTGCACTCACACGATTTTGGAAAACAGAATATTGGCCTACTGGAACAGCAAGTATTCCGCCGAATAAGCTCATATGTCAGACAATTACTTAGGCCATTGCAGTCAGACGATAGGAGTCGAATTAGTAAATTTTTATAAACGCCTACTGTTGCATTTACTAGCTTTGTTGGTGGGAGAAGCGTTACACGCCACTCTGTGGTACCATCGCATAATCATCAGCCAGTAGCTTTTACCTCCCCGGAGATAGTTTCAAGTATTCTACGCTTAGTTGAAGTTTGCAAACTTGCAGGGAGCTTGTGTACAGTACAGTGTTGGGAAAAGGAAACGTCTAACATAGGTTCAAAATATTTTTAACCTAAAGGCTGCTTCACAATTGAGCATGCAACCATCTAAACAATCAGTAAAGACAGACTCACCGTGCGACTTTATTTGAATCACCCACGTAATAGCCTATCTTCCTGCTTGCTGTGGTGAAATGTTGATGGTATTTCAACAGATTTCTAGATTCCGGCTGACATTCATTCACAAAGGTAATTCACTAAAAATTCATGTCAACGTGACAGAGAGGAGCAGCAGGTCAGTTGATTGTCCTAATTTGCATAACCGGGAGACAACCGGTCAAGAATGTCCCTCTTGTCCACTGCAAAGCCGTTTCGATAAATTAATTCCAGCGAACTAGAGCAATCAGAATGGGAGAAACAAATCAACTTGAAAGATGTTCCAAGACATTTTGTGCAATTGGATAATGCATTAACGATATCTACGGACTTGGGAATATCAAACGGATTGGAAAATTGCTAGCTTTTAAAAGCTAAGTTCTGTCGATCAAAACACAAGGAAGTTGGAGCATGCTGGATTTGGCTCTGTTCTCAGAGAAAACAATCCTGATTATTTGTAGTGTGTCAATTATTTACCATCTAATCCCATCGAAAATTTAAGCAAATAGCTACGTCTATTTCTGTTCACATAGGTGGCTAAACACAAATGGGTTTTACAGGCGGATTTTTATGGAAAGGTAATTCGCCACCTACCGTGTATAGATATGTCAAAACATTAGCTATCCATATTAATTGGTGCTGTACCACACGGTTTATATCAAAGACGAGCAACGTAGATTATTGTAACAAAGCAATATCCCCTTTGTCGATTCCTTTAGTTGAGATTTATCGTGCGTCTTCAAATATGCAACCGAAAAGTCTCGATTATTTATGCGTTTGATTTGCTGAGTATAAACACGGCGAAAGTCGATGAATATCACGCAGTTTTTAGTAAAACAGACAGGCCCCGCAGCCTCATAGGCAAACCATTACTATACGAAAATTTTGGCAAAACCTGTATCTACAACAAGGTTTACTAGCATGGTAAAAGGAAGTTAGGATATGATTTGCATTCATGCTAAGAAACGTAAACGTTGCGGTGGTGGTGGATACGGATTATACTACAAGCTGCATCACATAGCTTTTTGCCTAACTTTTGTACCTGAGAGTAAGTGTTACTGATTCCAGACACAAACTAATAATGAACTAAAGGGCAGCTAGTTATTCGTGTAATTGGCCAGCATGATTTTATCCATAACCATTAAGGAACGGTACTGTTTTTAAAAATTGTTGTGAATGATTAATAAGTTTGCAATGTTCTTCTACGACTCAGTGACCTAAGATACTGATTGCTGGCGCAAACTGCTAGTGGTTATGGGTTCTATTCCTAATGGGGCAGAGAATGAGCTCCACCTGTGAGCCCCAAAAAGGCAACACAACTGTCTGCGGTTCATCTGGATTAATGCTTGCACTATCCTATTTTTGAGCTTCTGGGACGAAGTAGCTAAACATTGTAGATTTAGATACACCCCTGTTGATGGGCTGTGGTTTAAAGTAGTGCAATGAGCCCTAACTGGAAATATTGAAAATATATCCTCTACTTGTAGCACTGCCTCAAACGATTATCATTCTCTGCAACGCTTTTTTCTTACTCTGCAACAGAAGGTGCGATCGTTGGTATGACTGAACCATATTAATTAGCATTTTCCGGTGAAACTACGATAACAAGAACAATAGGAGGTAGAAAAATATTCTTAAGTAGAAAGTAAGGAAGTTGTTTCGGCGACAAAAAGAACCGACCGTGCCTGACAGATAGTAATGTTCTAAAACGTTTGCCGTTCATTATAAACTGATTTCGCTACCGCAGACCCATACATTTATCAGCCAACTAATTAAAGTGCGTTTGTAAGTTTCAAAGCTTTTCTTTAACAATCGGTTTATGGTCACGATGAACTTGGGGTTTACAAATTTTAAAATTAAGCCTGACCATTTAATGCGGACTTGTTCTTCTGGCTATATTGACAATGCGGGACTGCTACTCGATTATTATCTATCTTATGAAAACTATTCCAACAGTGACATTTAAATAACCAATGCCACAAACAGTTTACTCAATGATTACCAATAAAATTAAGCCTTGTTCTCAACTGAACAGCTTTCCGAAATCGCATAGAAGGAGTTTGTCAACCAGTTTAGGAAACGTAACGGAAGTTCTAATGCCGCACTGGAAAAATAAAGAACGTTTGTGAGCTGCAGTCTGTCGGACACTTGCTCCCAGTAGTAGTTACATTCAGTAAACTTATTGAGTCGCCTCAATCACTGATATATAATGAGCTTACGTGATTCAATATTGAAGTTACCGAAAACTAGTCATAGGCGTTGCAATGAAGTAGCAAGAGTAGTTAGGGATAATTGCTTAAAAGGTCTCAAACTCTGTCAATGGCACCAGTAATTTCCATAACAGTTATAGTAAAATTCTTTCTCCGCACAGCGCATACGGAAAAGTGAAATATGCTTGAGAAAGACCAGTGATGTGTTGCAGCACTTGAGGATCGGTTAATGCAATATCCAGCACGGCGAAGTGTTTTTTCTAATATCTAGCCCCCATTAAACATGAAGTGTCAATTTCACTTTTGCTTTTGGGAGAGCAAAATCGTCTCTTAATTTTATCCTATGGTTGGATAGAAATCAGATTGTAATGGATCATCTTTACGGCCGTGCTTGCACATAATTGACTTCTTCATTCCGTTGATGAAAGCTTCACTGATGCAGATGAGATCCGATCACTTGGAGCGAAGGTGGATTCCATGAAGTACAACATGTACAACATGCAACATGTACAACATGCATCATTCGAGGTAACTTAAAGTTTTGCACACTGTGTTTTAAGCCATGTTTGATTGATGAGAAGACAATTCGCTCGAACTTAGTTGACCATAGTTTCTCTCATTAATTTTAGCTTTCTGCGGCATGAAACAGAACTGCGCTGCACAGCGAAAACGATCGCAACTACCGTGCCTATGAAAGGCTCCGAAAAGTGCAGATCCCATTCAACCATCCCCAAAATGCCTCTCTGGAATGCAAATGTGCGTTACTTCGGGGAGGCCTGATGGAGCCAAAAGTTACAGCCGTCATTCCGCAATCTTTTGCATCAGTAGCTTGTGGCTCTCGATTCAAATTGCCACTCTTACCACCATCCGTACGGAAGCCACGCAACACATTCACTTTACAGTAGAGGAAGAAGTCCCACCCGGGTTTCTTGTTGGATTATTGTACAAGCAGTTACACGATGACATTTTAACAGGTCCTGGAAATCTTCTGTTCCGAGTGATTCAACAAGGTCAGGCACGTTTATTCACGGTTGGGTCAAAGGACGGACGAATCAAGGTGGCCCAGCGCATTGATCGTGAGGCAATCTGCCCACACTCTGAAGTGGGAACTATGACGACTAGGGCAGCAGCAGAGTGTGAATTGACATTTCCTGTTAATCTCCTGCGATTAGTAAATTCGACAACAGATTTGTTGGATGTGTTGCGAATATTTATTTTGGTAAACGACATAAATGACCATCCTTGTCATTTCGTTCCCTCTGATGAGCAAATATTGTATCTTCCTGAGGACGCACAAATATTTAGCAGTATGTCGTTGTATCAGCCAAGCGATTTGGACACTGGTCCTGGAAACGGAATCGCGAGATCTTCTATAATGATGACTTTGCTAAACCCAACGACACCCGCCAAAGGCAGCTCTTGGTTCGATTTAAAGATAACCGAGCAAGAGAGTCTGACAAAACCGTTTTCCCTAAGTCTTGTCTTGATCACGCCTCTAGATTATGAAATGTACACACGGTATGTGCTTAGAATAGAAGCTCAAGGTGGAATGAACATGACATGTTCACTGATGGTCACTGTGCTTGTTACGGATGCCAACGACAACTCGCCGAAATTCTCTCGAAAAAATTATACCGTACATATTTCAGAAAATACAGATATAACATTCCCAATATTCACAGTTTCTGCCACTGATAATGACGCAGGGCCATACTTTAGTCAAATGCAGTACGATTTCGATACGGCTACACCCACCATGGTCAGGTCAAATTTCCGCATAAACAAGAAGAATGGATCCATATTTTTGAAGGGACCAATTAGTCATCAGCACCAGTCCTCTTACAACATCCCTTTAGTTGTCCGAAACTTTAAAAGATCCCAGACACAGCATATGGTAGACCTCCCGGACAACCAATTTGCTGACCGAGCACAGTTAACGGTAAACCTGACCAGGATGAATCACAGACCACCGACCATTTCAGTATACACGCCAGAAGGTAGAAGTGTAATTAGCATTCCAGAACATACTGTGGATATTCCTTTTGATTTTGCTGTAGTCACAGTGACAACTGATGATGCACAGTTTTCAGAATCTATCGACTGCATGCTTAATCAGCCAGGGGTCGAGCAGTTTGCGCTAACACAAATTGGCGCATCTTCCAGTGATGCGCAGCTCCTCTCAGGAGGAGACAGTGACTTCGAAATGATCTATAAATTATCCGCTTTGGCCGCATTTGATCGGGAAACAACTTCTACGCTGCACATAACAATATCTTGTTGGAGCAAAAACGTGAATTTTGAACACTTAGTGGAAGTAAAGATAGCAGACAAAAATGACCATCCTCCGGAATTTGATAAAACCAACTGGCGCTTCATGGTTTCCGAAGACAGTGACCCAGAGAGGTATAAAAGGGAGTACATTATCGGCCAAGTTGTTGCAACTGATGCGGACGATGGTGTAAATGCTCAAATAACATATAAGATAGGAGACGAATCTTCCAACATGCATTTCACTGTGAATAACCTTACGGGTGTAATTAGTTCCAAAGGAGTTCTTGATCGGGAAGCAAAGGACTATCACCAATTCACAATTGTTGCTATTGACGGTGGAGATCCACCGCTAACTGCAAATACAGTGGTGGAAGTCATTGTTCAAGACTATAACGATGAGATCCCAATTTTTGGAAAAACATACTATATATTTCACATTGTGGAAAATAACATGCATGGGGAGTTTGTAGGTAGCTTGACAGCTACCGATATGGATAAAGGAGGAAACAGTGCGCTTAAATTTCAGATGGAATATTTTCGTTCGGGTGTGCATTCCATCGGAACTAGCGTGAACAACTCTTCAAGAGTTACAAATTTACCATTCGAATTGGTTCAGCGATTTGACATACTGCACAATTTTTACGAAGTTAGAATTTATGCCCGAGCAATAATAGACCGCGAAGAGGTCTCCCATACCTACGTGGGCATGCCGATGAGTGAGTATTTCATCAATGGCGCATTACCTACACAACAGCTCGATGAGCAAGTGATGGTTGGATTTAAATTTTGGATAATTGCGACCGACGACGGTATTCCACATCAAAGCAGTCAAGCAATCGTCCACGTAATTATTGACGACTTGAATGACAGGGCACCAACGTTTCAATGGCCAACAAATAATTCAACTCTTATCAAAGTATCGTACTTGGAGAAGGTTGGATACGTGATCTGTCAAGCAAGTTTTATCTCTAATAAAATACGTGTTACATTCTTTGTAGTCATTATTATTTAATTTTTTTAGCCATCACACGAGAAACTTGGTTAATATGCAGGAGAATTGATGTAATTTAATCGTAGATTTTTGCTTCTACTTGTTGCAATGGTTTGAAAGACACGATTCTTTTCGTTTTGTAGTTAGGTTTTAGGGAATGCCAATAACTATATTGTTATATTTTTCCCATTTATCATACCAAGAAGCTGGCTTACATGGTCATTTGATTAGCCATATTTGTTACAGTAAATTAGATTGGAGTTAAACGTTCAGAGTAGCGAGGTGGTTAAAAACTGTCATATACTTTTCTTTACAATTACTGACCACAAGAAAATAGACTCACTGAAGTACTAAAATTCGAATGTTATATTAACTTTACGGCTAACTATGAAAAAATATATGTAAAAATGGCACCATCAACCTTTATAGATGAATGTTACCTGAGTGCTCCAGACGACAGAATCAGTTATCCACCGTGTTGCCTACTGTTGTCACTTTATGGATTGGCTTCCGTACACCATACTTCAAGCCACAGCTATCGCATTTCTTCATAAAGTGCCGGCTAACAGACTGACGTGATGGTTCGCTGAGTCACAAGTTGCTTTTTACAATAATAACGGCTCTTATTTAGCTGAGTATCCAGTGGCTCACAACGCTTTGGTTGGTCCATAGTTTGCTTAGCTTGTCTAAGATAACTTATCATCTAGTCGAAAGGGAACCAGCACATTTTCAATCTGCTTGTGCTTGTAGACCAGTTGACACCAAAGTTTATTTCTTAGGTATGTTCAAGCGAATGGTCCAGTCGACTCACGAGTTTGATAGCTTTATGGCCAAACTATAACAACTGATATGGAGTGTAAGAAACCATGTATTTTGTTGGTTGAGCAATTTTGCAAAGTGTGAGAATTTATTAAGGCTCTGTTAATTTATATTAAAAATAAAAGAGAATTAAGCAAAAAGCATGGCTCGATGGAACATCATCCAATTCAATGTATCGTTCGGTAACTTCAGAAATGATATGGAAATTGCATCGTAGTAAAGTACTCTTTGTTTTCACTTTGAATTCTAGATGTAGCACAGTGTAAGCAAACAATGTATACAGCCATTTGTGGTCAGTCAGAATGGAGATATTGTCGGGGTTTCACTTTCGTCCTTTGTCAATTAACGCCTTAGTGATCAAGAATAGCTGTTTGTGAGTAGTGTAAAGCTCGAAGAAAGTAGAAGCCACGATTAAAATTCCCGCACAATTATATGCCTCGACGGGGAGTCGAACCCCGGTCCACGAATTTCCGGTCCGTTGCTCTACCACGGTAGCTCAGGTGGTAGAGCAACGGACCGGAAATTCGTGGACCGGGGTTCGACTCCCCGTCGAGGCATATTATTGTGCGTGAATTTTAATCGTGGCTTCTACTTTCTTCGAAGAATAGCTATGTCACTTCTTCTGTTTAACCTGATCCTTTTATGGAGTTCGTCAGACTGGCCGAGTTAAGATTACTCTCCACGCAGTCAAGAGGTATTCTCCACCATTTTATTCACTCAGCACTCGGCCTTAACGATTTCCATCAACTCGCCAGTGAACCTCTGGGATTTTGCTCGTAAACCATGCCTAACGATCTCGACATTATACAAATTGACCTGATGCCCGGCATTTAGCTTAAAGACAGCTGCGGCAGAGTTTCTTAACGGATATGTCTATTCAAGCTCAACCTTCGCCGGTCGAAAAATGCGCTTCTTATGTTCTAAGATCCGTGTCCGTAGCTCTCTCGATGTGTGACCAATTTATAAGTGTGCATATTCTTCGCAGTTGACTTTGGACACATAGTTCGTCCTCTTATCTGCAGAAAAGTCATCCTACGTGCGCACCAGCATCGAACGCTAGGTTTACCCACAATAGAGGCTCATCTCTATACCCTCCAAGGTCAATACTTACCAAATTGCTTCCGAGCTTCCCTCTTCGTAATGAATTCCGACCGCCTCTACTCACCGCTTTGCAGACATTGCCTGTGGGTTTAGTTCTTTTTTAACTGACGTTTCACTAAAGGTCGCGGATAACTAATATTTAGTAGCACTTTACTCCTCGTCATTTTCCGTGCCACCCTTCTAACTTCTTATGTTGTGCGTAGCGTCCGTTCCTTGTTAAACAACAATGACGCTATCCCTTCCTAACCGTGCTTTGGATGACCTAAATTATAGTGGCGTATCTCATCGGTATCGGTTGGCTTACTGCAAATAGTTCTTTTCAAATTTACTCTATCTATCTGAACTAGGTAGTCAATGGTACAATGGAACAATCGTATAATATGGGCAAAAAAGCATCACTTAAGAAGTCCCACGCGGTGGAAATTATTTCGAAAAGTGCATTTCAATATAAAGTAAAAAGCATTTTGGTGGAGTCACAGTAGAGATATGTAGAATAGCGGATATATTCGCATACTAAAGGTATAAATCCGTAAATCCATTGCTTGGAAGTTTGGCAAGACTCCGTTTGATTGCGTTTTGGATCTCCTGGCTAACAAATCATAAAACGAAAGGCACATGAGACAGTTCATCGACAACTCCTTTTTTAATATCGCCAGATTGGGAGCAAAAACGGCATAATTATGGAGGGCTTCCCAAGGCTGGCACAAGCGGAGGGAAAAGAAATCGCTACGGCATTCAAGCCTGCTATACTGAGTTGTCAGCTCCAGAGCGTGACCTCGTAGGTTAGTGTTATGGTTCAATTCCAGCAGCGTACGGCAAATGTGGTTTGGGTTCTTCAGAATTTGTCAAAGCATTATAAGATCTCCTCGTAAAAGCCGGTTTCGACCGCTGTACATTCTTAGCGACTTCAGTCTAAGCTGATATGGCAGATGAAAGAGACGCTTGACATTCTTGGTTACCCTTCGTTGTGGAGTCTGGAGAGCAACGAGATCCCGTTTCTGCCACAACTGCCACGCCTGAATAGCATATTCCACTTGCGGTCGCATGTAAGCGTTACTCTCTGCGAAGAAGGCCGAAATCTTAATTGCCGGTTCTCGTCGTCTTCTCTGCTTGTTTTGAATACCCGAGATCTTCCTGTACCAATATACCCAGGTCACGCTCCTGAGAGACGTATTCCAAGGTGTGGTCTCCAAACTTATAAGCGCTCACCGGCTGGTGACCCAGATGTATCACCTTGCATTTAGCTATGCTCAATTGAAGCTAGTTCCTCTTTGACCATTTGTAAATGCAATCTAGGTCATGTTGGAGTATATCGTGCTCATTGTTATTAATCGTCCGTCATATATTCACGTCATCGGCGAAAACAGGAAATTTGAAGAGACAACTCTTGCCAGCTCGTTGATAACCACCAGAAATAAGTACGGTCCCAGCACTGAGCCTTGTGTAACACTGAATTCCAACTCAATTGGGTTAGAGAGTGATTCCTTAACTCGTACTTGAAGCTTCCGTTGGTGAAGGAAGCTGCCGATCCAACCAAGTACAGGATCTCCGATTCCGTAACTCTGTAGCTGTTTAAGTAGGATGCGGTGATCAACGCGGTCGAAAGCTTTGGAGAAGTCCAGATAGATCAACTCCGACTGCATCATCAGCCACTTCCGTCCAACTACCTCGTGCAATCAGTAGGTTGGTGCTGCATGACCGGTGTTGACGGAAGTCAGACTGCTCCGGTACCAAGATGTTGCATTTTCCAGGTAGTCCATTAAAGCCTCAGCGACGACTGCTTCCATCATCTTCGCGAGCACAGTGAGTTGAGTCACTGGGCTATAGTTCGCAGCATCTGAACGGCAACTACCTTTAAAAATTGGGTGATAATGCCATGCTTCCACATAGTGGGGACTTGTTGCTCATCAAAGTAACTTTGGAAGAACTGTGACAGTGGTTCAGCTAGCTTGTTGGCCGCAGCCTTCATTGCCTTTGGACGGATGTTGTCTGCTCCCGGAGAACTATGCTCACACAGTTAGAGTAACTTTCTTAGCAAAACTGATGGGTTGAAAATTTGTTACTGGACGACTCCAAGTCCACAGCGAAGTTCATTCTCCAATCAATGGAGTTCGGATCGTTTAGAGAGTCCTCCTTTAGATGCCTTTTTATTTTTACAACGCTTTGTCTGCGTAGTATCCTTAAAATTTTCAGTGAGCTGCCGGAGTTTATTATAGCCTATTTCCCGACGTCCTCCATATACAAGTTCTGCAATATAGGGGAAAATGGTGGGCGCATGGCCAGACGTGCTTCTTGGGTGTACAGTTTTGATTGCAAAAGGAAATGAACATGCCAAGGCGAAATGCCATGCCCTGCAGGATTTGATCAGCTGTACAATTTGTTCTCTCACCTAGTTTGCTGTCCTCCGCAAGCCAGCGTCTTGCTAATTATAACGCTTCCTCTTTAGGTACGATATCACTGAGAAAGGTGACATCAAGATTCACCATTAGTTCCTGCGGCTCAATAGTGAGTCCGGTTATCTTTTCGGCAAACTTGTAAGAGTTCTACACGGATGTGCTTGTTCGGCCTGTCAGAGGCTATACTGTATATCTCGAGTGGCTGGAGAGCAATCTTAACTCGGCCAATTTGACAAACTCGATTCGCGGTTAAGGTTGGACGGAAAAGTGACATCATCATCATCTTTACCAAGGCGTTAATCGACAAAATGACGAAAGTGAAACGCCGACACGTGCTCTATTCTTACTGAACACTTGAGCTGACATTTCCAGCTGTGTCTCTAAGATTCTCTTGACTCATGTCTTAGTTGTCAAGAGTAACTCCCCCACCTGCTATAAAATGCCACATCAACTACGGGCCGCTTCATCTGGTCTGATGAAGCTTTAGGGTCAGAGGTTAAACGTCGCCAACTAAATAATCTAAACGATTTTACACAATTCTCCCAAAAATCAGGACTTTTCAAACAGTTACCTGTATATTCTGAGAGTTTAAGACGAGCATCACTCTCTTGTGCATAGGCCCGACTCTTGATTGATAACGTTTCCGCT